TTCATATGCATCTGTTGTATTCATTCTATGCATTATAGTTTTCGAGAAAATTATTGAAACATGAAAACACTGTTTTTTTCGAGCATTTTTTCAAATTTGAACGTGAATTACAGCCAAACGGCTAAAACCACAGTAATATATCGATACTTGCTAGATTCCCTAAACATTCAGCTTTCATATGCATCTTTTGGATTCATTCTATGCATTATAGTATTTGAGAAAATGTGAAAACACTGTTTTTTCGAGCATTTTTTCAACTTTGAACGTAAATTACAGCCATAAGGATGTAAGGATGAGTGTATGATTACACTTAAATTCAGTGTACTTAAAGTATATCTACTTACTTAAACTTCTATTGTTTCTTGTTACATAATATAAAAGAAATTAAAAATTAACTCTACCTTTTTTGTTATATGTTAGTCAACTAAATTTTGAATATACATTTATAATATAGGCAACTTTTAATACTCGAAATCTTTATTTAATTCATTGTAAAAATAACAATATATACGAATGTATAAGTTGCCTACATGTTACATTTATATTGCATTTAAATTGGAGTGTTATGTTATGGTGGTTTTAATAGTAATTGTAGGAAGAAATATTGAATAACAATGATTGTATGTGTATTATGAACACAGCTGTGTATAAAGTTGCCTATTGTTGGATGGTTCCAATTAGATGTCAGTTGTGGTAAACAAGGTGAGCGTACTGTATGTTGTTTCGGTGTAATTAAGTGAGTAGTTTGATGTTGTATAAATGATGTAGCTTTGAGTATTGTAGTTGCCACCTATAAGAATCTCGCTGAAATCTTACACGTTTTACAGATTCTCCTCGATCCTATCCTATAAGATAGCCTGCTGTATAGATGGCAGTGAAAACAGTTCGCTTCTCGCTCTACGGGATGAATTGAAGGAGGACAGAGAGAAACGTCAGCGTGATTATGTGAAGAAAAATCAATAGACCCAGTGGCGAAACATCTGATTCACACAGAGAAGAAACAAGGCGTAACGAAACAAAAACAAATGCGTAGCAGCGTTCACGAAAGATGCCCAGTTCTTCGGTCCAGACTGCACCTCCTCCACCTGCGGAAGTGACGGTTAAGTGTAAGATAAACTGAACACGCCAAAAAAAGATAGAGAAATAGGAGAGCAGCAGCAGAAGCAGCAGCAGCGGTCATGGATAAAGGCGAGCCGTCCAGAAAGTCCAACGACTCGGAGGGAGATGGCGAGAGGCCGTTCAAGAAGGCCAGGTACGTGTGGCAGCTGAAAGGCAAATATCATCTTAAAGACAATAACCAGAAGCAGGCAACCAGCATGGATGATGCAGAGGACACCACACTCGAGGAGCCAGAAAGCCAAAGCGATTCAGATTCTGAAGTTGAACCCGCATTGATTAACAACAATAGCATCAAGATTCCTACAGCTTTCTACGAGAAGTGCTGCATTGACAATTTACTGATCCAATCGAATGCGCTGTTGGACACAGTGCAGGAGGATTCGGATCAGGAGTGTGCAAACAATATCGATAAGTCTATTCTGGATGAGATCCCGATCACTCTAGTTAAACCGAGTCTCAGGAATCAGGATGATTACATGTACGAATGGCAGGCCAGACAAGTTGCTAAGAGTTTTGTAGATAATACGATAAATAGTATATTGGAGCATTGGAGGATAGCCGCTTTCGACGTCGAAGATTTCGTGGAGGATTGCGAGAATGGTGAGCAGGTGGAGGATGAGGGCATCCTGATGGCTATACAATCGCACGGGTTGCAGTCGGGACCACGGTTCGAGCCACCTGAGGTCGTGCAGGCACCACGGGAGATGCCAGTACATCCGAGCGCGGATCCTATGCATTTCCTTAATACCGCCATCTCAGCAGCAATCCAGAAGAAAGGCCTGTCCTCCAATTGATAACCCAACACTACTTTAAGTTGTTTTATTTTTTTTTTTCATATCTTTGTATAAGACTGGACGCAGGAGGAAAAATACAATCGTTACGAATATTTTGAAAAAAATATTTTTTTGATATAAGAGAGAAAACATCATATATATATTAATAATAATAATATATAGACAGATAGATATATATAATATAAATGATGATGAACAGACACTAACTACATTGAATTCATTCAGCAAGGTCTCCCAACTGTTCCTTTTCGTTCGTTTCGTGTAATATTAATGATAAGATTTATACCTTGCTTTTTGAATGATTGAATGCAGATATTAAATAAAAATAATTTAAATCTGTCTTTTTCTTTTATATATAAACCTTATTTTGTTTTATCGTTTAGTTTTAGTACAATTTGCATGGTTTAACAAATTTTACAATATCATCTCAGGAAAAAATTAAACGATTAATATGAATAATCCTATTAGAATTGAATAGTTTTGAACGAAAATTTCCATGTTGAATATTTGATAAACAGTTGGTTGTGATATTAATGCTTTGATTGATATGTTTATAATTTTCTTAATTATTTCTACATCATTCATGTAATTATTTAAACGAGTTTATTTTGTAAAATATACTTTTACATTTACTATTAAGCGATAATAGTCATATTTTATTGCATATTCCTATCTGAACTAATCCTAATGAACACTCGATACATTTGGTTTTCGAGAAAATCTGCTTTTTCGAGCAATTTTTCAAATTTGAACGTAAATTACATCCATACCGATAAAACCACAGTAATATATGAATACTTGTTAGATTCCCCAAATATTCAGCTTTCATATGCAATTACTGTGGTTTTATCATATGGCATGTAATTTCGGTTCAAAGTTTGAAAAAATGCTCGAAAAAGCAGTGTTTTCACATTTCATTGATTTTCTCGAAAACTATAATACATAGAATGAATCCAAAAGA